CCTCCCATCCAGGGGGCCCAGATTCGTAATCCTCAATGCTACCAGGGGTTCTGCCTGAGCACAGAGACGAGAACAGCAGCTAAGCACCAGAAGATATGGCCCAAGCCCCAGCATAATAAAAAACCTGGAAAGATGGGGCAGCCAGGTTTGGTCCCCAGCCTCCCATAGAGTCCCCTGAGCCCTCCAGAAGTGATTCCGGAGTATCACCAGGTGCGACCTAAGAGATAAAATAAACCTGAAACAAAAGGGGGTGCAGAGGAGAATTCCAGAGACAGTACAATAGCCATCTGTTGCTTTTCCCTCCCAACATCTATTTTCCCGCCTGGTAATAGCACCCCTATTTTCCACGAGTGCAGTGCTAGGAGGATCATGAGACGCAGGGGACTGAACCCAGGCCTCCCTCCCGTAAAGAATGAGCTTCAGTCCAATGAGCCTGGGTTTGGTTTTTGGGCCACACCCAACAGTGCTCTGAGGTAACTCCTGGGTTTGTGCTCAGAGATCTCTCCTGGCGATGCAGAGGGACCATATGCAGTGCCAGGAATCAAACTTAGAAATACATAGAAAATAAGGCTAGGAAAGTCACGTTTAGTAACCAATAGTCCTTACTCTAAGGCAACGTTCCTCAATCTTTTTTCAACCTGTGGCCCCCTTCTAACCTTGTTTCCTTCCTTGGCCGTCCCGTACTACCAGTTGGTCCTCTAGTCTCGTGCAGTGCCCCACCACCAACACCACAATTGATATGATTTTTACCTGTAACTCTTTTGGCATGTCCTGGGGGCCCAGAAGGGGCCATAGGGCCCTGGTTGTGAAACCCTACTCTTTTTTTTTTTTTTATGTAGGAGTACTGCTATTTATTCAGCCACTGATTAGCTGATTGAATTGGGCATGAACTCCACCTTAATTTTTTTTCATAATTTTATTTATATTTTTTTCTTCTTATATTTATTTATTGAATCACTGTGGGGAAAGTTACAAAGCTTTCAGGTTTCAGGTTTAAGTCTCGGTCATACAATGACCTTTCCCTTCACCAGTACTCATTTTTCACCACCAAGAACCCCAATATAACCCCCCTCCCACCCCTCCCAGTGCCTGTGAGGCAGATGATTTCTACTCAACTCTTCTCTACATTGATTACATTCATATTTCGACAAAAGATGCACCATTATTGTTTAGAATTTCCCCCCCCAACAATCAGAATTGCTGAAAAGGCATTGTGAAATACTTTGTTTTCTATAGCTGGTATGAGAATCATATAATGTCATATAATAATTTTGGATTTCTGCAAAGAGCCAGATCATTACGAGATTGGTGTGAAACCCTCCTCTTACGGCAGTGTTCTTCAACCTTCTTACACACAGACCTGTGTTACGCACCCACACACAGTCCAGGGACCGGCAGCTCTAAGAAGGCAGGAGACAGGTGGTTTTCAAGCCTAGGGACCAGCACGCGTAGACCACCGCTCTACAGTCATGTAAATCAGCAGCACACAGGACCCTCTCCCCATTTTCTGGTTTTCATAAATAGGAGGCAAACACCCTGCAGTCTAGTTCTGAGCTTCCTGTATTTCCTAATCAAACCTGGGTCCCCCAAATGCTGGCAACTTTCCATAAGTTCTATCTTTTCCCTGAATTCCTTTGCCTCCCTCCAGACCCCTGGAAGTTCTGTTTTGCTTTTTCTGATTCATAGTGGATCCCCTTTTCCAGTGAAATTTTTTTTGGTGGGAGTGACACACCTGGGAGTACTCAGGGCTTACTCCTGGCTCTGTGCTCCTGGATCACTCCTGTTGGGACTCAGGGGGGCCATACGTGGTGCTGCAGATGGAACCTTGTTAGGCCCCAGGCAAGGCAAGCGCCCTAACCCCCTGTACTATTGCTCTGGCCTCTCCCGTGAATATTGAGGTTAAAATAAAAGCCTGTGACATTATTTGTCAATTTCCTCTCTGCCTAATAATAGCTCTTTATCGGTTTTATAAAAACTGAGCTGGGAACCAGAAAGAGATCAGGGGAGCTGGGGCGCATACAGCTTGATCCCTGCCCGCCTGGTCTCCCAAGCATCACTCAGCACTTGCTTCCTATGTCCAGATTTGATCCCTGGCACCTCCTGTTCCCAAGAATGACAGCAGTGACCCTATACCAAGCTGGCAGTAGCCCTGGGCACCACTCGGTATGGTTTCTGTCACTGTCCTCCAGTTATTCATCGATTTGCTCGAGCAAGTCCACTAATGTCTCCATTGTGAGACTTTGTTGTTACTGTGTTTGGCATATGGAATATGCCATGGGGAGCTTGCCAGGCTCTGCCGTGCAGGCGAGATACTCTCAGTAGCTTGCCGGGCTCTCCGAGAGGGGCAGAGGAATCGAAGGTCGGCCATGTTAGCTGTGTGCAAGGCAAATGCCCTAGCGCTGTGCTATCACTCCAGTCCCGGTATAGTTTTAGAAACAGAAAAAAAAAGACAGTAATTTGAAAGTGTAACAAGCAATTTACTGAGATTGAATTCCACGGGATGTCAAAAGATCGCATGGCCGCCCACCTACGAGATGATCAGACTTCTTCGTCAAGACCCTGAACAATTGGTTTGAGGCTCTTTGTGTTCCTAGAACGAGCAGATGCCACTGGGCTATGCTAGCATGCAATAGGGATGAATGGAGGCGTTACTGGCGCCCACTCGGGCAAATTGGTGAGTAACAGAATATCAAGTGATCAAGTAATCAACAAGCAATTAAACTTTAAAACATCATTCCAGGGGGCTGGGGCGAAAGCACAACGGGTAGGGCATTTGCCTTGCACGTGGCCAACCTGGGTTTGATTCCCAGCATCCCATTTGGTCCCCCAAACACCGCCAGGAGTAATTCCTGAATGCATGAGCCAGGAGTAATCCCTGTGTATCGCCTGGTGTGGTGTGGGGGGGCGGGGAGGGGGGCATCATTCCAGCTGATTAAGGCCAAAAATAGAAGAGGTATTTACTATCCACGAATCAAAATTAAGTTTTTTTTTTCTTTTCTTTTCTTGTCTACACCCAACTGTGCTCAGGGTTTACTCCTGGCTCCGTGCTTAGAATCACTTCCTAAGACAGAGCTCAAGGGACATTATGGGATGCCAGGGATTGAACTTGGGTTACCTGCCCAGGAAAAGGAATGATCTAATCAGATATACAAATCCTCCCTATGATGTCAAGACAAAATATGGTCTACCATTTATAGGCTGTTTCAAGAATGAAAAATTATTCCCTATAAATATCAAACAATTGGGGCTGGAGAGATAGTACAGTGGATAGAGCCTTTGCCTTGCAGGTGGTGAACAGGGGTTTGATCCGCGGGGTCCCATATGGTTCCCTGAGCACCACCAGGAGTAACTCCTGAGTGCAGAGTCAGAAATAATCCCTGAGCATCACTGGGTATGGCTCCCTCTCCTCCCCCCCCAAAAAATTACAAACTAAATATCAAACAATACATTCTACTACCTCAACTGGTAAGAGTGTGATGGCCACTCATAAACCCAGCTTCCCAAGACTTGGAATCGACTATTCAGTAGAAACTATAGCATAAAGGACACCAGAGCACTTTATTGATTTATAATGAGACAATGTAAATAAGCCCTCTCCATCAAATTCTAATATGCATGTGCAGAGAAATATAGAGAGACATAAATATGTAAATAGGCGAACTAAGGTCTCAAGGCTAGGACAAAAACATCTGGAAAACATTTCTGGGAAATGCTAATTTTCTGTGTGCCCGCTTAGGAAAGAACACAGAGGAAAAAAAATAACACCGAGATGGCTAAGTGAAATGGCAATCCCTCTGATCTGTTCTTTAGTTGTTCCACTAGGAAAAGAAAAAAATCTATCATGTACTGAAAGGGCATTAACTGTTCGGTTCAGGGATAAAAGCCTTAAAAGGGCTGTCTCATTCAACCCTGACATTCTCTGGAATAAAATCCTGAGGAGGGGCTGGAGGGGGGGGGGGGTTCAGCAGCAATATATTACAAGCCTTGCATGTGTGACACCCTGGGAGCAGTCCCAGGCCCCAGAAACATGCACATAAAAATTTTGTTTAAATACTGCATAAGCCTCAGAGATAGTTTAGCACATAAAGCACCTGCCTTGCCCAAAACGGACCTGAGATCCTCAGCATCACATTAGGCTCCTGAGCATCATCAGGAATGGTCCCTGAGTGCAGCCCTGAACACAGCCGGATGTGGCCCTAAATATATATACACACATATATATTATATGTATGTAAAATATATGTAACATATATATATATATACACGTTATGTGTATTTATCTATATCAAGATTCTGCATGCACAGGTATCTAAAAGCATCAAGTAAGATATTAAACTGAAATAGTCAGATTCACCGAATGGTGTTTGCACCGGGCTGGAGAAATGCAAGGAGGAGTTACTAATTAACTGAAGTTAAAACAAGACGAAAACGCTCTCGAGATTCTCCTGTCCGACTTTGTCCCTACAGTTGACAACGCGGTTTTTGCACTTAAAACGTCCCACGACGGGCAGGTCTCGCGTTCAAAAAAGTCCCTTCCACGGTTAACAGACCTGCCCTGAAGTGGCCCGGGGACTCGGCCCACGTCTGACCACTCGGACCCTGGCCCAGGAAGCGCCGGAAAAGCTCTGACCACCTCGACTCCCCGGGGATGGGTGGTGGGGACCCTGGGGGATTGGCTCAACAGCTCTTGGCTAGAATTCCCTCGCCCTGCAGATGAGTCTCAGATGCAATAACGGGCAGTGTCCACCCCAGCGGGCGCGCCTGCCGCGAGCGGCCCTCCCGGGAGCATCCGCAAGGACCAGACCCCCGGCTGGACACTACCCACCCCCCTCCACCCCCGAGGAACCTCAATCCCCGCAGGCGCCAAGTGCGGAACGCCGGCGGGCGAGGACGGCGCAAAGCCCGGCCCCCACTGGGTCACCGTGACCCGAGGGGAAGGCGTCAGCCCGGCCAGCCCACGGCCGCGTCGCCTAGGCAGCTGGACCAAGAGCTCGGCTCACCTCCGGCCGGATCCGCGGGCCGGCACCTCCCCTTCGCGCCCAGCCTCAGCCGCCATCTTAGTCAGCGCACTTCGCCCCGCCCCTAGGCCCCTCCCCTCCCCCCGGGTTGGCTAAGACTGGCCCGCCTCTGTCCGAGGATTGGCTGGAGTAATCCCCGCCCCCAACCCGCACGGCTCCCTGATGGGATTGGTCTATTCAAAAGGCCAACCGTCATTGGTTGTTCCCCAGTCCTCGCGGAAAAGAAAGGGGAGGTGGAGAGCCAGCCCCCACGTGCCCCGCCCCCCCCGCCCCCACCCGGAGCTGCAGCTTCTCGTTTTGAGGCGCTCTTGGGAAGCCCACGCTCAAATTTCGTTTTTGAAATGGTGTGAGGAGGGGACCAGTCGGTGGAATGAACAGGTAGACAGGAAGTAACCGAATGGCATTGGTGGAGGAGGCTGGAGAGATAGGACAGGGGCTAGGTAGGACGTTTGCCTTGCACACAGCTGGCCCCCAGCTTCGATCCCCAGCACCCCATACTGTGCCCCTGAGCACTCAGGCGTAATTGCTGAGTGCGGAGCCAGGAGCATCGCCTGAGCATCGCAGCGTGTGGCAAAGGAAAAAAAAAATCATTCCAGCTCCCACCCTGCTTTCAACATAAGTCACAAAATTTGCCTGAAGAGTCTTAACCATGAAACCAAAAGGTGCATAATTTAAGCTAGTGGCTGAGCTTCGATCCCGTATGGTAGACAAGCATAATTAAGCCTGTCCTTCCATTCTTTGGGAAAAATTAACAGAAGCAGCTAATGTGAGGACTTCTTAAAGGTCTAATTCTTTCTTAAAGCATTTTATTTTTTATGTATTGTTTTTCTTTTCCTTTGTTGGAGGGAAGGCTTCACACCCAACAGTGCTCAGGGCTTACTCCTGGCTCTGTACTCAGGGATCACTCCTGGCAGAGCTCCAGTAGCCATATGGGGTACCAGGGAACAAACCTGGGTTAACCACGTACAAGTCAAGTACCTTACTCGCTCTATCATCCCTCTGGGCCTGTGTTCTATGCTGGAGCTTTCTCCATTTGACCTTTTTTCCTAGGTTCTCTTTCACTAAATGTTACCCACATGTGCTTCCCTTCTTCCATAAATTCTTCCTGCCTGAGAGTCCTTGCATTCTTACTGTTTCTGTCTCACCCCCCCCTTTCACTATCATCTTTTGAACCTCAGCTTCTCTGTCAGTGGTTCAGATGCATTCCATGACCTCTTACGTCCCCATTGTACAAATCAGTTCTACTAACTCACAGATCACTCTCCTCTTCCTTCTTAGCCAGAATGACCACTTATAATTATAAAGGTTGTGTGACCACTCATTTAATATAAGGGTTCCCAAGTCCTGTCTGGCATATAGTAATCTTTTAATAAATCTTTCTTTTTTTTTGGCGGGGGGTGGGGGAGCTTTTTGGGTCAGATCCAGTGTGCTCAGGGGTTACTCCTGGCTCTGCACTCAAAAATTACTCCTGGTGGTGCTTGAGGGACCTTATGGGACCTTATGCCAGGGATCAAACTAAGGTCGGCCACATGCAAGGCAAATGATCTACCATTGTCCTATCACTCTGGCCCCAAATAAATAATTATAACAGAAACTCAGAATGTGGCTCAAATGCTAGAGTTCACTGAGTCCAATTCTCACCATCACATGGCCCACAGCACTGTTAGGCATGACCCCCTCTAAAATAAATAAATGGACTCTCTCTCTCTCTTTCTTTCTTTCTCTCTCTCTCTCTCTCTCTCTCTCTCTCTCTCTCACACACACACACACACACACACACACAAGGTCTGAGGATATAGTTCAGCAATAGAGCATTTCCCTTGCATGTAGGAGGTACTGGGTTCAACCCCCAGCACCGACCGCACAGTCCTCTAAGCATTGCCAAGGGTCCCTATGGAGACTCCAGCAGTGGCCCTGATGGTTCCCGATACTGTAGGGCCCAAGAAGTACCACATCCTCAGGCCTTATGCTGAATTGTCAACCTTGTTGATTGATTGTCAATGGGAGTAGCCCTAGGCCCCTAAATACATCTTGGGAGTCTCCCACCCACTCAGATTTTTTAATTTAATTTTGTCTTTTGTATCTCAAGGATAATTATTCTCAGGCAGCCTTAAAAAGATGAAGTGAGGGGCCTGAGCGATAGCACAGCGGGTAGGGCATTTGCCTTGCACGTGGTTGACCTGGGTTCAATTCCCAGCATCCTATATGGTCCCCCGAGCACCACCAGGAGTAACTCCTGATTGCAAAGCCAGGAGTAACCCCTGTACATTGCCAGGTGTGACCTAAAAAGGAAAAAAAAAAGATGAAGTTAGATCCTCTCTGAAAAACTGCTTAGCAGTGCGATGTCCAGCAAACAATAGCCGTGATAGGATGACCAACCACTACAAAAGCTACTCACCTTGTTCCCACAGCGCATCTGTCTTGGTGACTGTGTGATAAGGTCCATACTTCACATTCCTTTGTTTTTGTTTCTGTTTTGAGACCACACCAAGAAGTGGTTACTCCTGGTTCTGCACTCAGGAATCACTCCTGGTGATGCTCGGGGGACCATATGAGATGCTGGGGATCGGACCTGAATCAGCAACATGCAAGGCAAGCGCCTTACTGGCTGTCCTATCTCTCCAGCCACCCTACTCACTCTCTTAGTTACAGTTTAATAAGTTACTCTGGCGACTGTTTCTCCACATGAACAAGTGTTCTGCTGTGACTTCTGATTCAAAGCAAGTATCACTGCTGAGTGCTGAAAAAATACTCCCACGCCCTCAAGCCTGTGCACCCTATTTCTGCACGCATGTCACGGCTCCCCTGAAATTATTCTTGCTCCATCAAGGTACTGATTGCTAGCCTGGTGATAAGCATGGCTATGCCTCAGGAATTCGTGAAAGTTCACAAAGTCATCTTGTTTCCAGCAGACTTGCTGAACAAAAGGTCACAGGGAAGTGGCCCTGGTCCTCAAGGAGCTTATAAAAGACTCCTGACAAAATGAACATGGACGTCAGACAGCACAGAAGACAGTTTAGAACAGTAGCTTTATTTTTAATTTGTTTTGTTTTGTTGTTTTAGGAGCCACACCCAGAGGTGGTCAGGGCTTCCTCCTGGCTCCGCACTCAGAAGTGACCCCTAGCCCTTCTCAGGGAACCGTTTGTGGTACAGTAGAGCAATCCTGTGTTTGCCACATGCAAGGCAAGAACCTTACCCAATGCTGCGCTCTCTCCTCTCTCTCTCTCTCTCTCTCTCTCTCTCTCTCTCCCTCTCTCCCTCTCTCCCTCGCCCTGGATTAGTGGCTTTCAACCACCAAGCTTTCAAGCTTCTAAAGGTTTGAAATCACTGATTTATGATGGAGGACTAAAGACCAAAGTAGAAAACAAATGTCTAAGAATTTAGGAGCATGGCAAAGGGAGAAGGCCAGGACCCCCAGGGACAGCTAAGGAGCAAACCAAGGGCTTGAGTCTGCCACAAATATCATTGTAGAGGCATCTATCTACCCAATAGATGCTGAACTTTAGAGGCAGAAAGGGTGTTGGAATTATCATCATATTCCATGACAGAGCTTTGATGGAGGAGGGGAAAAGGAGATGAGAATTGGGAGAGAAGTAGAGGAAGAAACAAGTGCAAGAGGAGGACCTGTACATATTGAGCTCAAATCAAAGCAGTCATTTGTTCCAGCAACAAACTGGGTTGATTCTAAAAAAAAACATCAAAGAGGAAGGAAAGAAAGGTGTGTTCATGGCAAGATCTGCGAATGCTTCCCTGAATCCAAGGCTAATATATTCTGGGCTGATGTCCTCACTCAACAGGCTGAGACTGCTTCATATTCAGGAGGTCTGGGTTCACTCCCTAGCATCACAGGATCCCCAAGCACTGCTTGGAGTTACCCCCAAACATAGAGCTGGGAATAGCCCCTGGGCACCTCCTGGTGTGGCTCCGAAGCAAAAGAAGGCAAAAAAAGATTGACTCCCTACATAATCTCTGGAGGATCCCTCAATTTTACTAAAGGGACAGAAAGCATCACTTTCCATGAGAGACAGAAGGTTGGTAGGTAGGGACCCATAGCTGATTTATGCTTGCATGGGCACCCTTTTAGCCTCCAGACCTCATTTGATAGGGTTTCTATATATTAAGATTGTCCTGTTTATATCCCCGTTATCTAACCTCAAGCATATTTTTGGTCTCCACCTTTGACCTTGCCATTCCTTCTGTATCCTGTGATGATGACACTTTGTTTGTTTGTTTGTTTGTGGGGAGTTGGGTTTATTATTATTATTTAACTGGAAGGCTTTACTGAATATTTTTAGTTTTTACAACTTTCAGAATCTAAGTCAGAAGAGTGAGGAATTGATACATATCTACTAGAAAATGCATCTAACTGGATGCTCAACTAGCCTGTAATTCACTAGCTACATCTTCACATCAACAGGACCCACTGGGCTATGACCACATATGTGTCAGACACATCTGGAGCGATAGCACAGAGGGTAGGGCATTTGCCTTGCATGCAGCCAACATGGCTGACCCGAGTTCAATTCCTCTGCCCCTCTCCGAGAGCCCGGCAAGCTACCGAGAGTATCTCGCCCGCACGACAAATTCTGGCAAGCTCCCCGTGACATATTCGATATGCCAAACACAGTAACATCAAAGTCTCATGATGGAGACGTCACTGGGCCCACTAGAGAAAATCGATGAACAACGGGAGGACAGGACAGGACAAGACATCACTTACATAACTATGCACATCTATACCTATGTATTACATAAATCTCAGTTATATATGTAACCCTGTAAGAAATTAAGTAAACTGCCACAGTTGGGGGCAATTTGGACAGAGTCCTGAGAGGACATAAAGGATATACATGTTAACCTTTCAGTACCTATTGCAAACCATAATGCCCAAAAGGGAGGGGAGAGAGAGAGAGAGAGAGAAAGAGAGAGAGAGAGAGAGAGAGAGAGAGAGAGAGAGAGAAAGTTTCTGCCACAGAAGCAGGCTGGGACATGGCGTGAGGGAAACTGGGAAACCTGTGATAGGAAATGTACACTGATGAAGTATGGGAACA